AATTTTAATTGTCAGGGAAATAAGGTCTTCTAGAGATTCGGGAACCTCCACCCGGGCCAGCTCATCTTTCAAGGGATCGGACAGCCCCATACGGAACTGGTGCAGCAGAACAAAGTCGTTCCAGCGTGTGTCCCCCATCCACCGCCTGAAATCAGAGGCGTATTCCTCTGCAGCCCGCCGGCCCTGTCGGAGCGTATATAAGATCGCTTCGGCAGAGGCTGCCCGCTGTGGCTCATCATACAAGATGGCCATCACTTCAAAAAAACTACTGACCGTTCCCAGATGAGGATCATTGTTTCCCCTTAACCGGTGGGCCCAATCCTGGGGTTCACCCTGCAATAGTGAAATGACGAATCCCACTTTCACATTTTCGGTCAGAAAGGTACGGGGTTGTAGCTCAAAGAACAGGAGACAGGAATCACGGAATGACCGGAAGCGTGTGCGGTCCCCCGTGGAAACGCTCCGGTAAGGGTACTCGGGGTTCCGCCATAGGGAGCGGGGCGGAAGCCCCTGAGGCTGGTTCCTGAGCTACCATGGCCGGGGGTGCAGAAACTGGGGCCTGTGGAGCAGGGTCAGATATAGAGCAAGTCTGGAAGCAATTCTCCAGCTGCATACATCTGTCCTGCAGGGCCGTTACGCCTGCGTCAAATTAGCTAAGTGCCTGCAAATTTCCTCTAGCGGGGAGGGCCCTCCTCTAGGCTCAGTCATGGTCTTCTGGTACTGTAAGGGACCGCCTGGCGGTACCACTAGCACTCCACTGATCGGTCGTCCCCAGCGTACGGAGTCTAAGCCCCAGAGTACTTGTTCACCAGAGCCCCTGATGGTGGGGATGGACTTGGAGTACCCCGGGACCAGGTCGTGACTACTGAGGACACCCGTCAGTGGTAGGGGTATTCGCCAGGGGCTCCCACGGGAGAGAGCCAGGTATAAGGAGGTCTGGGGACCCCGTTGAGAGGGATGGATGGATGGATGGCTGAGCAAGTGCAAGGTCAGAAAGGCCGGGTCGGTAACTATGGGGACGGTGCGTACACAGCAGCGGGCAAAGAATAGTCGGGTCACATGCCAGGTCAGCAACAGCAGGTCAGATCCAATAGGGGGCATTCAGGAGAGAGGTCAGGCAAGCAAGGGTCAAAACAGGAGAAAGCAGCAAGGTCAGGGCACAATCCGGGTCAGCAACTTACTAGAAACAGGTTCACAGGTTCACAGGATACAAGGAGACCAGAAGGCACTGAATGACAGCTCAGGGCCATTTAAAAATCCCGCTCTGCGCTGTCATTGGTGCCAGGCGCACGCCCGCGGTCTCTACTGTGCATGCGCAAACTCAATTGCCGCGGTCGGCCAGGTCCCAGCGCCCGCGTCCCTGCACAGGGCAGTGCACTGCGCCTGCGCCGAGCCCAGCGCCGCGGCGATCCCCAACACAATCTCTCTTGACAGCAAACAATATTCGACTATACCCCGATTATGGCGACTGAACTCATTCTTGCTGAAAACGTCTGAAGTCCAAAATAGCCTCAATTAAACACCCATCCACAAATACCCTAAACACAAACCCACAAGATATAGCAAACACTTTTGCAGAATACTACCAAAATCTTTAAAACCTTAAAAATGACCCTAACACCATTCAGCCAACGACCACGACCATACAGTAATTTCTCCAAACAACCAATCTTCCTCAGCTATACACAGAGCAACTTGACTCCATTTCCACCACCCGATATCACCCAAAGAAATAGAAACGACCATTAAAACACTACCAATTAATAAATCACCAGGAAACGACGGATATACTAACAAATACTATAAACACCTTGCCACAGAACTATCACCACATCTGACCAAACTCTTCAACCACAGGCTCATTTCCCAAAGACATGTTGCAATCCATCATAACGACTATACCAAAACCTGGCAAAGACCCTCAACTAGTTCAGAACTACAGGCCAATCTCACTACTCAATACCGACATAAAACTCTACGCAAAAATTATATCCAGAAGAATTCTCCCCTACCTTCCCCTGCTAATACACCCGGATCAAGTAGGTTTCATCCCAGGTTGACAAGCACCCGATGCTACCAGGAGAATTATTTCCCTCCTGCACAATTTAGAAAGTACTAAGACCCCCTCTTTGCTCCTATTATTGGATGCAGAAAAAGCGTTCGACCAAATACATTGGCAATTCATGCAATTGACACTTCAAAAATTTGGCATCACAGGTTGGATGATGAAAGCCATCTTGTCATTATATTCTCAACCCTCCGCTAGAGTTCTGACAGATGGCACAATATCTGATCCCTTCGACATATCAAATGGTACAAGACAAGGCTGCCCACTCTCCCCGATAATATTTACACTCCTTATTGAACCCCTAGCTTCTAAACTGAGAGAAGATAGAACATTCACAGGAATTACACATCTTAACATGGAACACAAAATCAGCCTATTTGTGGACGATATAATACTTATGGTAACCAACCCTAAAAAATCCCTCCAAACGATTCGCTCACATCTTTCTACATACTCAACAGTATCATACTATAAACTTAATGAACCCAAATCTTCCATACTTAACCTTCACATCTCAACCCAACTCCAAACCCAACTGACCAAACAATTTCCGTTTACATGGGAAACTAACAGCATTGCTTACTTAGGAATCAGACTCACACCAGCGACAGACCATCTATACACAGCAAACCACAAAATATTGTTTGAAACTATACCCCGAGAATTAAACACTCTACGCACCTCATAACTCTCCAAACTAGGCCGCGTGGCGACCCTAAAAATGTATATTTTACCCAATATCTAGTACATATTCCGTACACTTCCCCTACCAGTTCCTAATTCATTCTTTACTAAACTACAAACAATTCTTACAAAATTCTTATGGAACTCAAAAAAACCGAGATGTACCACCAATCTTCTCATCAGACCTACAACCAAAGGAGGAGCAGGACTCCCACAAATTTTATTACACAGCTACCCTCTTGGACCAATTATATTTCTGGTGGAATCCTTCGAAGGAAAAAATCTGGTCCATAATGGAAACCCTCCCCTTTCAACCACTTAAACCCCAAAACATACTTTTGATCCCTCTGTCCAAACGTATAGAACCCCAACTAAATCATCCCTGCATTGTAGCCTCCCTACAAGCTTGGTGGGACCTTCTACTCACTAAATTCAAAGACACTAAACAAATACCCACCCCAACCAACATACTACACTTCCTCATTCCCTCACTGGATCTATCGCAATGGACAAAACAAGGAATAACCAACATAAGGGACCTCTACACCAATCAATCTTTGTTTCCCTTCCAAACTCTTCAATCCAAATACAATATTCCTACTGCTGAAAATTTTACATACCTCAGAATCGCTCATTGTATACGAACAAATAACCTACCCCACAATACTATAAAAGCAACTACAGCCTACACCTTCCTCACCAAACCCCAGTACCCGGATAGGGGTATTTCCACCTTCTACACACACCTCACAAACTCACAATTCACTCTGCAAACAACCTCCCTAACCAATTGGGAGAAAATCCTTTCAGCCCCAAATAACTTAAAAGTGTTGGGAAAATACCTTCAGCATCACCTATAAAGCTACCCGATGTAGCTCCCACTGGGAGTCATACTTAAAAATACTCCACCAATGTTACCTGACCCCGATCAAACTTTCCATCTACTACCCGAAACAATCCTCTACATGCTGGAGACTCTGCGGTGAGCCAGGCTCAACAATCCACATTTTGTGGTCATGCAAATCACTTTGTTCCTTCTGGAATAAAACACACCAATTAATTTCTAAAATACACAAATTTCCATTTGTCCCGAACCCATCACTAGCACTCCTACACATTGGACTCGAGAAACTCCCTCCATGCTCCCGAACAGTAATTACCCATATACTCTTTGCCGCAACAATTAATATTACTAGACTATGGAACACAAACAATACCCCCACAATCACCTCATTGATTACAGACCTTAACACTCAATGCCAAATGGAAAAACTATGCGCAACCAACACTTCCTCCTATCACAAATTCAATCTCCAGTGGACCCGATGGCTAAACCACCCTAAATGTAATATACAACCTTGATGAAATCTCAGGAAATGAACTCACACCTCGCACTAAGACTGGTAGCTACTCAATTCCCCAGTTATATTCCTCCCTCCCCAACCCTACCCTCCTCCACCTCTCCACCACCACCCCCCCCCTAATTCCCCTAACTCCTCACCAAGGCACACGAATACCTCTGATGATATTGCTAAAAAAGACCAATACCCCATCTGTCCAGAGGGCAGATCTACAACAAATTGATCAACCATATTTGTCTACTGTAATGTTGTATGATTGACCCTTATTTCTTTTCCCTGTTTTTCCATGTTTATCCTTGAAAACTCAATAAAAATATTGAAACATAAAGGCACCAAGGAGGGCACTCTGTAGGAGGATGTAAGGGAGAACTATGGAGGTAATAACTTAGTACCTCCAGAGTGCCCCCTTACATCCTCCAGAATGTCCGCTTGTTCCTTTATAAACATGATCCACTGAGCGCAGGTACAATGCTTTGTGGGCTCAATTGGGTACAAATAATAAATGCACATTTAATTTCCTGGAAATATCAGGGAAGTTATTATTTTTTCCTTGATGGTGAATTTAGCTTTTACATATTGATTGTCTTTGTTTACAATAGGAGTTGCTGTCATGTTTCAGCTTGTCAGTAAAAAAAAATGTGCTCCTTCAGTAAATTTTTCATGTCTCATCAGTTACAAAAGGAATCGTAGGTTGGCAACACATCCCCATGAGCAGGACCATCTTTTTGCATGGGTACCCCCTGGAGACAGCCCAGGGGCCCAAGGTGCATGGGGGCCCTTGCAGTTCCCCCTCCCAACAGGGGAGATTGTCTGTGAATAGAGAGGGTGATCAGTGCAACAGGTGAATGAGAATGAAAACTAAAACCAATTTTTTTCTTTCACTGCAGCAGCTGAAAGCCAACATCTCCTGCTCCAGCTGCAGCAGTGAGAGAGCCACAAAAGATGAGTTCCAGTTATTTCTCCCACCTGCTGCACTGACCTGAATTTCTCTCACTGCCTGGACCTCCCCTCCCATAGCACTGCCGGCTTCGAAGTTTGAAGTAGAAGGATCCAAATGGAATCTTAAATGTATGAATTCTACTGAGCTCTATACCTCTACCTGTATGATTTGGCTTGAGAAAAAATGGAGGACTGCAAAACTGTTAATATTTTATCCATACTCCCATCTGCAGTGCATGCTTCAATGAAAATCTCTAATATGCTGCAACCTCCCTGCTCTTTATATATCCATATAAAGTATCCATAAAATGACATTGTGACAGATGATTAATAAATAGAATGTTACTTTTTTTGATAATAGTGCTGATGATCCCTCAATCCTCTAATGGGTCAGTAGGATCCTGTTTGAGACTTTCATTACAATATTATGTGGAATGGGATATTATGCACATAATACAGTTTATGCAGTAACTAAAAATAATCAATAAATTGTAATTATATTTTTTCCCCATAGACAGTGTAGGCTGCACGAGATGTCCAGATGACCAATGGCCCAATAATAAACAAGATCGCTGTGTGCAAAAAATAGTGGAATTTATTTCTTATCAAAATGACACCCTTACTACAGTAATATCATCTGTGACTGTTTTATGTTGTCTTATAACGGGCCTTATATTGGGATTATTTGTTTATCATCGGAATACACCCATTGTTAAAGCTAATAACCGGAACCTGAGCTATCTCCTCCTGGTCTCCATCATGCTGAGCTTCCTCTGTGTCTTCTTGTTCCTCGGCCGTCCAGTAGATGTAACCTGCATGCTGCGTGTCACCTCTTTTGGTGGCATCTTCTCAGTTGCCGTCTCTTCTCTACTTGCCAAAAGTATCACGGTGTGTATTGCTTTTAAAGCCACCAAACCTGGCAGTTCCTGGAGAAAACGGTTTGGGACCAAATTGCCCAACTGTGTAATGTGTGTGTGTTCATCTATCCAAGTCATAATCTGTGTCACTTGGTTGTCTATTTCTCCTCCCTTCCAGGATCAGGACACTCACTCTTATCAGGGAAAGATCATCATTCAGTGTAATGAGGGTTCAGTTATCGGCTTCTACTCTGTCCTGGGATATATGGGGCTTCTGGCAGCTGTGAGCTTCATTATAGCTTTTTTAGCCAGGACATTACCGGACAGTTTTAATGAAGCCAAGTACATCACCTTCAGCATGCTGGTGTTCTGCAGTGTCTGGATTGCCATGATCCCGGCCTATCTGAGCACTAAAGGGAAAAACATGGTGGCTGTGCAGATTTTTGCCATTATGTCATCAAGTGCTGGACTTCTCTGTTGTATTTTTCTCCCAAAATGTTACATAATTCTGTTCAAACCAGAAAATAATACAAAAAAAATTATTTTGCCGGTAACAAGAAACCACTAAATATTTATTTTTAAATGCTTATGTGTGCAGTTAATTTGGTTTTATGTGCTATTTGTGCAGCAGCTTGTTTCTGAGAAGTTATGATGTCATGGTAATAACCTATACATTGTGTCTCATAGAGAGTCAAAAGAAAAGACAGATTATCGAATAATACAACAAAATACAATATAAAGTTTTTTCATGACTATTAAGCTCCACTAGTAGTCATGTAAGAAAGACAAGTGATGGTATTTTTCTATTGTTTCTTCTGGACAAGAAGTAGTGATCATATTTTTTGTGCAGAAATTGGTAGTCCGGGAATACAGCTTCATACTTCATTGTAATACATGTACAGTATGTTTACAGCTTTACCTGCCAAGGTATTTGTGGTTCTGTTCAGCTAATCTTCTCAGCTCTGCCCTACTGCACTGCCTGAAAATTTACCCCATTGCTTCCCGGTTCACCTTTATTACTTCCTGGATTATTTCCCTAATAACTGGACAAAGTTGATGATTCTGATCAATGTTAAGTAAGCAGGGCATTAGGGAGAGGGATGATTAATTATTCAACCACTTTAATAACCTCTTCTCGATGGCCATACACATATATGCAGCCTCTCCCCGTGTGGGCTTTATTGCTCCCAGCACAGTAACCAATGATTACCAGAAAGCTCCCGATGAATACTTGTGGTTGAGAACTTCCCAATCATGTAAATGCTGTGACTTCCAATCACAGCGGTCACATGATCGGAATGCCCGCCTCTTACCCTCATTTTATGCAACAGCAGACCAGCTAAAGGGTCAGTCCACCAAAATCTGACATTCAGTGTTTGGTAGATAATAGGGAGTTACATCCTCTGAAAACTTCACACATCTAGTAAGATCTCTGCACTGAGTTCCTGGATATACCCAAACCTGCTGTGCCTACTACGAGGAGTTTCCACTTCCAAAAATGTAAGTTTTACTTCTAGTGATCTTCCATTTCCTAAACCTGGATTTCATGTTCAAGATTATTTTTTTATATTTTTTTTCATTTTCTCCTTTTATGTACATTTATGCATTTTATAACATACATTTTTTCATTACAGTATATATCAGAGCAAATTTCTACTTTTGCACTTGCATTTCTTTCCTTCTGTTTTTGGTGTGTTTACTTCTATGTTTTACATTTTTTCACCGACTTAAGGCAGGCATTCCATCATTAAAATTGCCGTATTTACTTTCTATTAACCTCCTTCCAAATCCAATAACACAAACTTTAAATTTAAAAAACACGAGGCCCCAGTTCACTTCAACTAAGAAGGGGTGACATTACTCATTTTTGGATCCTTTGAAGGATGAAGATCCCGGATATATGGAAAAAAGTGCCCTTGAACATGTAGGAGCACATTCTTGCAGGATGTGGGATTCCAAGCATTTCCATGATCAAATAAATGTCTTAATGATGTCACCTTGCCTAGGTGAGCACTTGGTAAAGGAGGATGTTATGCCCTTCTGAGCCAGGAGGTGTCACAGGGCTTTTTGCCAGTATAATTGGTTGCATTTTTGGATATGTGGCATAGTCAGTTGTCATGAGTCCTTTAGTATGTGGGCACTCAAAGCCCCTTGTGCCCCCTGTAGCCTTCACCCATATGTGGGATAATTCAAAATCAAATGTTTGGTTGGTTTGATGCCTTCAGTGAATTATTAAATTACTTTTTACAAATCTCCTTCTGCATACAGGAAAATCTGATGATAAGCAACATAAATAAAACGTGATGCAGTCCGTATAAACAGCAGGTAGAGTACATGCATTACAACTACACTATATTGACAAAAGTATTGGGACACCCCTCCAAATCATTGGATTCAGGTGTTCCAATCACACTCCATGGCCACAGGTGTATAAAATCAAGCCCCTAGGCATGCAGACTTCTACAAACATTTGTGAAAGAATGGGTCCTCTCAGGAGCTCAGTGAATACAAGCGTGGTACCGTGATAGGTTGCCACCTGTGCAATAAGTCCATCCGTGACATTTCCTTGGCTGCTAAATATTCCACGTGGCCATCAACTGTTAGTGGGATTATAACAAAGTGGAAGCAACTCTGTCTGCAAAGAGTCAATAGCAAAAGACCAAAAACTTGAATGTGGTAGTAGCACCTAGCTGTGCACATCCATAGATCCCCAGTATCTGTGCCATTGGAATAATTGTCATTGAAAAGTGATCTCCTATAAAACCCACCAATCTGTCTTCTCCAGAACATGAGGAATTAGGTACTATGTTCTGCGGACCAGATAAAGGCTGCTTAGAATATTCCTTACTGCCGTACTAGTATATAAACATGAATCTGTTACATGAAATCCCAGTGTAATATTAGGTAATATTTCTATATCTGGCTAATGTTGTATATGGCAAATTTTAAAGCAAGAACATTAAAAAAAAAAGTTTGTATTCCTTCTTTAAAGCCTAATAACATTCATAAAGTAAAATCTCTGCAGACAGGAACTAAATAGGGTGCCCTTTGTTTCCATTGCTATAATGCTAGTTTTATTGTGAATCTCTCATTTTGGCTAAACCTAAGGATTAATATTCAGATATAAAAGGAATTTGGATAGGTTCGGAGCATAAGGTACATTTATGCAGATAACATGCTGTTCTCATGTGGGAAATATCAAGGAAATAACATTGCAAATTTAATTTTTTCAATGAAAGAATACTTCTAGATGTCAAATTTTTTCACCCAACAAAAATCAGAAAATTGTAAACATAAACCTTCTTCCAAATAGAGAGAAAAAAAAAACACGAGATTACAAGAGGTTTACTCATTGTTTGGAGAGAAAAAGAATTGAAATATCTATATGGAAAAAATTACCGGGATCCTCCAGGAGAAATTGTAGAAGGATTGAATTATATCCCATTGTTAAATGAAATCAGGGATAACTAAGTTGAAATTACCTAGGGGAGCACCCCGTAAAGGATAAGTTGTATAAATTTGATAAAAATGGTGATTGTTCCAAAAATTTATTAAGCCATTTAAATGATACCATTTTTGGATACCAGGAGTATACGGTTAGATCAATTAAAAAAAGTTAATAAAATTTATTTGGAGGAATAAAAATTGAGAATAAGCCAGGAAATTTTATGTAGAAATTCAAAAGAAAGGAGGATTGGGAGTCCCAGATTTAAAAATATATTATACAAATCTCGGTAATAATGGAAAATCTTTGATAAGCACATATAAGGCAGAGGGGAAAAGCTGGGTTAAAATAGAAAATATACTAAGTAATACTAAATTAAGTGGAATTGTATGGTTACCCCTCCACAATACAGAGGATTAGCAGACAGTACAAGTTTGTTCACATTTAATGTTTTAAGAGTTTGGAATGTTTTACACACAAAAGATGTGGATGGGAATTTAAGCTCATTGTTAATGCCCTTAGGGTCCACAGTTTCCCCCCCCCCCCACCTGTAAAGAAGTCCATCACAGGAAGTGGATTAAGCTAAGGAAATATGCACAATTAAGGGATATACTGGTAGGGGAGGAAATGGGGTCACTTAAGGAATTGGAAAAAAAAGGAGAGGTTTTTCACGAGCTGAAGATGAGT